TCCCCGGCGGTGAGGACGCTTCCCCGGCGCCCCGCAGCCCTCCCCGGTGCCTCCCGAGCCCGTTTTTTAGCCCGTTTGAGGCGCAGCGCGGCCCCGCTCCCACCTCATGGCGGCGGCGGCGGCGGCGAGAGGCGGCGCTGGCCCCGCCCCCCGCCCGCGGCGCGTACCACCGCCCCCCCCCGCGCCCGGCCCCGGGCCCCGCCGCGGCCCGAGCCGAGATAAAGGAGAAATCCACGTCAAATCATCATTTTAGATCATTTAGAGCACACGCGTGGGGTTGGGGTGTGCGTGGGATGCGTGGGAGAGGGGTGGGTGATGGCCGGTGCTCCCCTGTGCTGCGCGGGGATGGTACAGTCCGAGTGGGCGGGGCGGGAGGGGCGGCGGGGGCTGCGCATGCGCGGTGAGGGCGTGGGGCACGTGGAGGGGGGCTGGGATGGACTGGGAGGGACTGGGATAAACTGGGAGGGACTGGGATGGAACTGGGATGGACTGGGATGGACTGGGATAAACTGGGATGAACTGGGATAAGACTGGGATGGAACTGGGAGCAAACTGGGATGGACTGGGATAAACTGGGATGGACTGGGAGGGACTGGGATGGACTGGGATAGAACTGGGATGGACTGGGAGAGACTGGGATAAACTGGGAGAGACTGGGATGGATTGGGATAGAACTGGGATAAACTGGGATGGACTGGGATAAACTAGGATGGCACTGGGATGGATGGGGATAGAACTGGGATAAACTGGGATGGACTGGGATAAACTGGGAGGGACTGGGATGGATTGGGATAGAACTGGGATAAACTGGGATGGACTGGGATAAACTGGGAGGGACTGGGATAAACTGGGAGAGACTGGGATGGAACTGGGATGGACTGGGATAAACTGGGATGGAACTGGGATGGACTGGGATAAACTGGGATAAGACTGGGATGGACTGGGATAAACTGGGATAGAACTGGGATGGACTGGGATAAACTGGGATGGGACTGGGATAAACTGGGATGGACTGGGAGGGACTGGGATGGACTGGGATAAACTGGGATGGACTGGGATAAACTGGGATGGACTGGGAGAGACTGGGATAAACTGGGAGAGACTGGGATAAACTGGGAGAGACTGGGATAAACTGGGATTGAACAGGGATAAACTGGGATGGACTGGGAGAGACTGGGATAAACTGGGATTGAACAGGGATAAACTGGGATGGACTGGGAGAGACTGGGATAAACTGGGAGAGACTGGGATAAACTGGGATGGACTGGGATGGACTGGGATAAACTGGGATGGACTGGGAGCAAACTGGGATAAACTGGGATGGACTGGGATGGACTGGGAGCAAACTGGGATGGACTGGGATGGACTGGAAGGGAAATGTCCCCAAACCCCCTGGAATTGTCCCCAACCCCCTGGAATTGTCCCCAAACCCTCTGGAATTGTCCCCAAACCCCCTGGGAATGTCCCCAAACCTCTGGAATTGTCCCCAAACCCCCGGGAATGCCCCCAAACCCCCTGGGAATGTCCCCAACCCTCTGGAATTGTCCCCAACCCTCTGGAATTGTCCCCAACCCTCTGGAAATGCCCCCAAACCCCCTGGAAATGTCCCCAACCCTCTGGAATTGTCCCCAAACCCTCTGGAATTGTCCCCAAACCCCCTGGAAATGTCCCCAACCCTCTGGAATTGTCCCCAACCCTCTGGAATTGTCCCCAGACCCTCTGGAATTGTCCCCAAACCCTCTGGAATTGTCCCCAACCCTCTGGAATTGTCCCCAACCCTCTGGAATTGTCCCCAAACCCTCTGGAATTGTCCCCAACCCTCTGGAATTGTCCCCAAACCCCCTGGGAATGTCCCCAACCCCTCTGGAATTGTCCCCAACCCTCTGGAATTGTCCCCAATCCGCTGCCACGGGGGTCCTGCGGGGGGTGCTCACTCCGGGTGGGTTTTGGGGAGAAAAATCCGATTTTTGGGACACTGGATCGGCCTTTTGGGGTGGCGTCCGCTCCTTTTTGGGGGGTCCCCATCACCCCTTTTTTTTTTTTTTTTTTGGGGGGNGGGGTGGGTGATGGCCGGTGCTCCCCTGTGCTGCGCGGGGATGGTACAGTCCGAGTGGGCGGGGCGGGAGGGGCGGCGGGGGGTGCGCATGCGCGGTGAGGGCGTGGGGCACGTGGAGGGGGGCTGGGATGGACTGGGAGGGACTGGGATAAACTGGGAGGGACTGGGATGGACTGGGATGGAACTGGGATGGACTGGGATAGAACTGGGATGGACTGGGAGAGACTGGGATGGACTGGGATAGAACTGGGATGGACTGGGAGAGACTGGGATGGATTGGGATGGAACTGGGATAAACTGGGAGAGACTGGGATGGACTGGGAGAGACTGGGATAGAACTGGGAGAGACTGGGATGGATTGGGATGGAACTGGGATAAACTGGGAGAGACTGGGATGGACTGGGAGAGACTGGGATGGATTGGGATGGAACTGGGATAAACTGGGAGAGACTGGGAGGGACTGGGAGAGACTGGGATAGAACTGGGAGAGACTGGGATGGACTGGGATAGAACTGGGATGGACTGGGAGAGACTGGGATGGACCGGGATGGACTGGGATGGAACTGGGATAAACTGGGATGGACTGGGAGAGACTGGGATAGAACTGGGATGGACTGGGAGGGACTGGGATAAACTGGGAGAGACTGGGATGGACTGGGAGGGACTGGGATGGACTGGGAGAGACTGGGATGGATTGGGATGGAACTGGGATGGACTGGGAGAGACTGGGATGGAACTGGGATGGACTGGGATAAGACTGGGATGGACTGGGATAAACTGGGATGGACTGGGATAAACTGGGATTGAGCTGGGATGGACTGGGAGGGACTGGGATGAACTGGGAGAGACTGGGATAAACTGGGAGAGACTGGGATAAACTGGGATTGAACAGGGATAAACTGAGATGGACTGGGATAAACTGGGAAGGACTGGGATGGACTGGGATAAACTGGGAAGGACTGGGATGGACTGGGAGCAAACTGGGATGGACTGGGATGGACTGGAAGGGAAATGTCCCCAAACCCCCTGGGAATGTCCCCAAACCTCTGGAATTGTCCCCAACCCCCTGGAATTGTCCCCAACCCTCTGGAATTGTCCCCAAACCCTCTGGAATTGTCCCCAAACCCTCTGGAATTGTCCCCAAACCCCCTGGGAATGTCCCCAAACCCTCTGGAATTGTCCCCAAAC